GTAAAGTAAGAAGTAGTGTTCATGTAGCTGCATTTCCATTTTGGAGGTGAAATCACTGACAGGCAAATTTACTATTTATGTTGGATGCTTAAAGAATTCGGAGATCTTCTTTTTTTGAATGTTTCATAATGATTGGTGGATGATATTTTCAGAGATTTCCGAAAATTAAATGACTCATCCAAAGTACTGCTATCTTATGTTGCTTGAGACAGGAACATGTTCCAGTATGTCTGTGTGGGGAACCTTTGGCTGTATGTTCTTCATAAGCAAAAATAAAAACAAATCAAACCTAATGAATAAACCATTTCTAAGTTCTCCTTCAGGCTTCACTTAATGTTGCACAGCTTTTGCCTTCGTGAGGTGTTGAGAAGTCTTAGTAATGAGCTCACATTCTTATCCTCAAAGACGGGTTGTTGGTGACATGCAGAAGTGGTGCATCTGCCAACATACTCCTGAACTTTTCCACCTTAGAAGAGATTTCAAATGCAATCTATTGTATTCTGGGGGGATTCCCTTCGTACTGCTGCTTTGTTAGTAGTGTCTGTTGAAATAAGACCACGTTTTAGCTCCCCTTTGAAGGGATAATTTATATACTGTGTAGTAAGCAACAATTATCTCGTCCTCATTAAAATCTTATCCATCCTGAGCAGGGAGCAAGTTTAGTGTTCCAAAAGGAAGGCATGCTGAAGACCAGTTTTCTGAGTTTTTTTGTCATATTTGCTTTCAAATGAGATGTCTCAAGGTTCTGGGATCTAATCTAGGTTTTAAATGTGTGCGAAGCTACCTTTTAAATGCTCTTGGCAAATGCAGTTTTTTTCATTTTTTGAGGAAAATCTCAAAGTTCTGTTTGTGCTCTTTTGGGTGGTGAGTGGAGCTCAGCTTCTGTGCTTTGTGTGAAGTACTGAAACAGGTAATGCCACTATTGCTTCACTTAGCAGTATTACAAAGGTTTTTAAGATTGTCACATTGAGTCTGGGAAGTCATTGATATTTCTGGGGTCTCTTGGTAGGTCTAAACAGTGTTGCATGTTCTGTGTAGGCAGTTTCTCAGATTATTTTTATCTGGAACAGTTTATTGGGCAATCAGAATAATATTAAATGCCCACAGTATTTGGGGAGGCCAAACAAGAGAGGAAGTGTAGCCCTTTGCTGTGTTAACAAATGAGTGTCTGTCCAAGGCAGTAAGCAACATTGGTTTTCAGTGTTCAGGAATTCATATTTGATGTTACACTTCAGCTTTGCTTGTGATTGTAAAACAAGCTGTGTTTTACAACGTGTGTGGCATCCCCAGATCCCTTCAGCATTATTCTGTTACAATAACAGAATAACACACCCTGTTAAGTGTAGGGATGCGTTGCTTTGGTTTTTGTTAATTTGTTATTTTGTCATAAGAGCAAATGATTTTTTGGCTATCAGGATGAAAGTGGGAACAGTGTTTGTTTTAGGATGTGTTATTGTTCAGCATGTAATGGATAAAATGGTTTTGTGACAGTGTTGTCCCTGGGGTAATTGGCTCTGATTAGGTAAAGATGTGAATCAATTCGGCACAAAATTAAGAATTTGTATTAAAGGAGAAAAACAGTATTAGTGAAATTTTCACACATTTCCAGATTCTTTTCACTCAAAATGTGTAGTTGCAGCTGTTGACATTGCAATGGAGTGCTGCTGAAGAAGCCATCAGAATTAAAGCCAAAATGAAGCAAGCATCATTAGGTTTTAGTGCAATGCTACCCCCTTGTGGAACATGGTTTCCTTCAAATCTTCATTAGTGGGCAGGAAATTTTTCATTAATAGTATGTGATACATGTTATGGAGTATGTGTACTTGTGTTCCAGCAGCAATGCAGAAGACTTGAGGAAGCCAAGATGATTATCTGTGGTAATTAACTGAAAATTCAAAGGGAATCTTTCTTGCTCTGTGATCATTCCCAATGGTTGTGTTAGAAAAGCTGAACCGAAAGTTGTCATTGAATAGCAATCCAGGTTAAGAAGATTTCATTGAAGGATTTTTCTAAGTCTTTATCGGTCAGAATTGCATACTGACTGTCTAAGCCTTTCTCACATGTTTTGACTTTTCTTTTAAGTATGAAGTCAGAAACAAAAGCAAACACACAGTGAAGCCTTCCGTAGCATTTTTTTCTTTAAACTTGTGATTAATGTGCGTGCATCCATTCTAATCTGACAGTCTCGAGCCTGTAATATGCCTGCTGAATTTGCAGTGTAAGATTAATTCAGGGAAATGCTGAATCATAGGTATATGGTGAACTATATGATATGTTAATGGGAGTATTTTTGAGTGTTCAGGGGTTTTACAGAGAAAGGAAAGGAACTTTGGTAATTCCAATTGTAAAGATTAAAGAAAAATGATAAACAATCAAAGCTTTCATAAGGAAATGAAAGTGTTTACGACAGAAGAAAGAATAGGGTCAGAGGAGATTATTGGGCTGAGTATTTCAGTTTCAGGATTGCAATTGAGATGGATGGGTGAGTTTTTGGCAGTCGAAGCTTACAAAGAAGAACAGGAAAAACTGCAAGAGACTTGAGTTTTGGTGGAATTGTTTTGGAAAGTGGAGAAAAAGAGTAACTGATGAAATATCTTTTTTTTTTTTTTTTTTTAAAAAAAAAGTATATATCTAGTGAGAGATCTAGGAATTTAAACACAGGTTTTGTTCCCGGTCTAAGGCCTTTAATTTAATTGTGGGATTTTTTTTTTTTTTTTTTTCACTTATTTCCTTTAGGAATGTTTTTCTTTGATTCACAAAAAGGTGTACATGGTACATCCAGTGCTGTCAGACCTTCCTCTTTTGGAAGGAGAGAATGTGGTAGATTAGAGTTGGGTGTCAAACTGCTAGCTATGAGAGACCTCGAATGCTGCTTTTTGTTTACCTTTATTGTTCTTTCAATCTAACTTCATCAGCAATGCCTACATTTACACTAGTGTGTTGTTTTTTTTTTCTGTTCAGCTGAGGTCCTGCACTTTTCAATACAATATTGATAGTAGGAGGCAAAATTGAGTCCGTTGTTTGAAAACCTTGTTGTACTTGTTTTAAGTACAAACAGTATATTGTGATTCGCATTTACGGTAGAACTCTTCTATAGAAAAATTAATGATTACAGAGTATTTTGGGGAGGGAAAGGGGAGACTTGTACTTCAGAATGACATGAAGTATTGTTATGAAGAAGAAGTGTAAAGGAAAAATTAAAAACAAAACAAAACCTGAAAATCACATTTTTCCTAAAATAGGAACTATCTGGATGTTTGAGAGAACACGTGACAGGAGGAGTTTGGCAGTTGGAAAGAAGCTGACATCTGCAATAAATCAGTTATTTTGAGTTTGAGGCAAAAAATGACTTACTGGAAAATCATGGCTTAATACCTCGTTTGGAAAGTTGTTAGCCTTTGACACAGACTGTGTTAAATTAACCTGCTTATTTCTGTATGGTGCTAACTTGCTGATGGAGTACTGTAGATACTTAGTAGCTAGTAGGCAACAGAGACACCCAGAGCTTGCCAATAGCTGCTAAGTGTTTTGTGTATTGGTACAATTTGAATGCTGCGTATGTAAAATTTTGTAGATCTCAACATGAGAATAGTAGAAATTTTACAGTTAATGTGGAGATGCCCTCAGAAATTAGGTTGCTCTCAGAGTGCAAATAATAGATTGCATTCTTTACAGTTAATGGAAGGAAATCTGGAGAAAAGGGGGTGAAGGGGAGAGATTATAAAGCTTGAAGGTGTTAAAACGGCATTCTGAAAGTATAGTTTCTGGCTGTTAACAAAGAGATTGTTGAAGCAGCACCTTCTGAAAAAAACTGTTCCGTGTTGAGTTACACTCAGGCTGGATATTCAGTAAGGCAACTGAAGACATAGCTTCAAGTATTCGTAGCGATGCACAGTGCTTGGGTGCTGGAAATGAGGTAGTCCCTTAAGGTAGTACTGTAAGTGGAGAAACTGAAGGAAAAAAGAATAAAATAATGTTGTCTATTATTCATCAAAAAATGCAATTGAAATTGTTTTGATCAGATAGATTAAAAAAAAAGCATGATTGTTGCATTCACTTACTGAATGTGTTAAAGCTTTTGTTCACATGCTACGGAGTAACACAACAAAAAAAGAACAGTTAACGAGCTGATGCAGGCTGGTTTTGTAATTAACACTTGTCATCTATCAACTAGGTTAAAAAAAAGTGGGAGATTAGAGAAACAACATCACTGTGGTCTCTTCTTCAGAGCTGCAAGTAGCAGATCTTAGCTGATGGTAGAAAAGATGTGCCTGAAAACTTTGCCTGTAGTGTATGCATTGTTTTGGTTTGTTTTCTTTTGTGGAGGACTTTAATTTACAGATTGAACAGATTGAAAACCACAGGAAAAAAAGAAAAAAAACCTTGGAAGCCATAAGTCTTACACTGACACTGATAGTATGACTGCCTCAGACTGCAAGGAGTGAGCTGTAGAGGGAAGTATGATGTAGGCATGAGGTGTAGCTTAACTTTAAAAAAAAAAAAAAAAAAAAAACCACTCATATTTTCTGTTACTTTAAGTAGGAAAAGGCCTTACTTTGCAACCTACACAAAATGTTGGGAATGATTATGGTGCTTTTGAAAAGGAAAGTATTAGGATATGTGAAAGTAAAGGCAGATGGGCTAGTGGATTTTTGTCAGTGGTGTCTTGTTTTGTTTTTTTTCCCCCTTGGTCAACCTGTGTGCTGTTCTTCAACAGTGAGACTCCTAAGTGAATGATCGAAATACCAGTCCTACTATCAAATAAATCTGCCTTAAGCTGTGTCTTATCGTTTGTCCCTACTTTACTTCCGGAATTCCAGATCTTTGTTTTCAAGAGCAGTGAATAATTAAGGATGCAGATATATTTTAAAACTGACCTGTGTAGATGTAAGCTACATTTTTCAGAGATGCTTTATTTTTGTTGTTGAGTGAGAATTGAAACGCATCTGCTTCATGAAAAAATGTTTGCTATTCTTTTAAGCAATTTTATTTGTTTACAGGTGTCAGCTGCGATGCATGTTTAAAAGGAAATTTTCGAGGTCGACGATTCAAGTGCTTAATTTGCTACGATTACGATCTGTGTGCAACTTGTTATGAAAGTGGTGCAACAACAACGAGGCATACAACTGACCACCCCATGCAGTGCATACTAACAAGAGTAGATTTTGGTAAGTGGCAACTTGAGAGTCAAATCATGTGTTGCCCTATTGTGTTAGTAAACATAATGTGGATTTTTCATGTTTCTACTTTACTTAAACGCCTTTTTTCCTATTAGCACACTTAAAAGAAGATCACCTTCCTGTCTTCTAAAAAAAACAGGCATTTTTCTTTGATTCTTGAGTATAATATATCTTAGATATTTCTTCTTAATTTAGTCTCCAGCAGGTTTTCAGACTATAAAGTATATTTGATAATAATGACTACTGCTGGCTTCCTATTCAAAAAATGGGGCATTCTTCCTAACTTAATGTTTTACTTGCAAGTAACACAGAGTGGAAGTTGAGAAATCCTGTTAAGATTCTGGAGACACGTTATTCTCTGCTGGTTTATATGCGTTTGTTGGTGCAGAAAAGTAATAACTGGCTGTGCTGAGTGTAAAGGACTAGGAACGGGGAGTAATGTGTAATTATTTTGGGATTTGTTTTAAGTTCCACTAATTGCAAAATTATTTCTGATAGCAAAACCACACCAGTATTTAAAAACACATTTGTCACATACAACTAGAGTAAGTGGAAGAATGTGTGACAGCAAGGCTGAAACTCAGGAGGTACTTCTGAATGAGACCTCTACTCTCAGATGTTGGAAATGTGGTATGTGAGATACACATTTATTCTAATCCTAGAGTGCAATCCAGCTGTGTTGTTTTTCATGTGAAGCTTTTCAAATATGATTTCCTAAAAGCTGAATAGGATCACTTCAAAGCTAAGGCTTTATGAATTGTAGGTTTCTTTACGCTCTTGATAATAATGGAAGTAAAATCTATTTCTTCATTGATTCAGATATTACAGTACAGCTGGATATGGGAATATACAGTTGCTTTTTTCAAAGCAGCTGTTAGATGTCTTTCACTTCCTCCTAATTCTCAGGTCTCTGCTTATCCTGAGACTGCCTTGTCTTGACTTCAGAAATCCAGGCCTTGGGATTTCAGGGTTTAGAAATCAAGATCAGATTTGTCAGAAATCAGAAATGCATGCAATTATATTAGCTTCTCAGACTTTTTCTGAGATTGTTTGTCTTCTCAGACTTTTTTTGGTAATACTAATTAATTAAAAGTCTCTGTGTGACTGTGTTAATTTAGAGATCTGATCACTATTGGTGAAGAACAGTTCTGACTGATTTGCCTTCCAGCGATTGCTGTTGCTGTGTTTTACAAATGGGCTAATATTTCCACATTGCTGTGAACACTGCATGTTTGTAATGCGCAGGGAAAAGGGGGCTGAAACTTGTTTGCTGTAGAGCCTTAAATTAATGTTAGATGCCAAAACTGCAGTGAAGAAACCTTCTAAACACTTGCCGCTTAAAAAATAATAATAAAAAAAAAAAAATTAAAAATTGCCTGTCATGAAATTGTAACAGTGTCTAGAAAATATATTTTGTTTCTTGCAGCTTGTGTTGTTCTGTCTTAGGAGTGCTTGATGAACAAGTGTGTCCTGTGGCTTACTGTATTTCATTTGTGTAAGTCTTAAGTGAAGAATTCAGGGAAGTAATAGAAGGTTACAGAGAAGTGGTATGTAGTGGATTCTCAGGGCTACTCTTGCTTTATTTAGTGTTTGTGCTGCTATGACCTCTTGAAATAAGAGGAGTAAATAAATTTTGTAAATTTTACATGGCTTGATCTCTGAGCATTGTTATGGCAAATAAATTTGTGCATTTTAATACATTGCCAAAACACAGTCCCATGAACAGCGAAGAATGTGGAGCTGTGTTACCTGCTTTCATAAATGACTTTGAGAACAAGTGTCAGGATTGCTAGAAAAAATCAATTTTTGGTATATTTACAATTCTATTTTCAGCTGACATGAATTACCAGATTATGAAATTGAATATTTAGAGTTGTAATCAGACTTTGAACTCAAAAATTGATCATGCCTCTTCACCAGACTTCTGTTTAAAAAAAGAACAAACAAACAAACAAACTCTCTTACCAGAAAGAAATATCCCTCACTTCACAGCCCCTCCTTATTTGTGTCATGGTGTTTTGATACTACATATGTCTGAGAAACTGTTTACAAGTATGAAGTACAGGAAACGTGGCAGTAGAGGTTGGACCTTCTCACCAGTGTTCCATTACTTGTTGTTGCCATGTGACAGATGGCAGCAGAGGGCCGGTCTGAGAGAATGGCAGATGACATGGAAGTGCAAACAAAGCAAAGCTGTGTCACTTAATTATTCCTTGTGGAAACTGTGGCACTCACTGACATTCATTGGTGGAGGCATGCAGTGAATGTGAGCACAGTGAGGAGTGGGAGGTATGTTTCAGCAGTGGTTGCTTCCACTGGTGCAGATTTTTCCAAGTGTGGCACACAGGCTCTTGTTCATCACTCATTTTCATAGCTAATAGTGGTCACTATGTTTAAAATAGTATTTTGTAGCTGAGAATGTGCTCCATCAAACTGTGTTACTGTACTCTTTGCATCTGTTGTAGTTTCGTGGAAATAGATAGGCATTACTTTTGGTGCCAGAAAGTTGGACTCCCACAGTTTATATGCAGACAACTGTAGAATTTACTTATGCATACTGTTTTAAAGCTGTGAACAAGTTCAGGCTTCTAGTGGATGGTTAATCACGTAGACCAATTCTAAATATCTGGGATTGCTTCACCATAGAGGAAAATGACATTGTTTACCCTCTGGTGAATTTTGAGGCTTTGTAGGCACAGTAATAAAGTTGCAAAGTGTATTGCAGAAGATGGACTTCTTCAGGTGTTCTCAGTGAGCTTCACTTGTCATTGTGTTTTTTTTTGTTTTACTTCCCTGGTGACTTAAAACTGGTATAGGAGGCCATGTAGATCACTGAAAGTGAGTAAGAAGGCCTGTTGATTTCTGGCAACCTGTCTTGAACCATCCTATTGGCATATCTGTCTTTCAGAAGTTGGGAATGTGGGATAGTATTAATTTGGAAGATAGGTGAGGTTTTTCAGTCTTTACAGAGACACAGAAGTTAAAATGATCTCTTAACGTGGATAGAGTTTAAAATACATACGATATGAAGCTTCACTTCTAAAGCATAAAATAAATTCAGGTATTTGTGAGAGGTCAAAGAGTAGAACTTGCAATAGGTTTGCCAGGTGCTGTTGGTTGTTGTACTGCTGGTACTGATTAGGACAATGTAGAAGTTCAGAGCAAATGTCATGGGGGTTTTTTCCTGAAAAAGAATTTTAATCTGCTAGAATGCTTTATGGTTTATGTGTGTGCCTCCCACGTTAACCACACTGTTGTAAAGGCGGGGTAATACAAATTGTTAATAGAAACCCCTACCAGAATCCTTTTATATTACTTTTATTAAAGTACTCTATAAACATATCTTGAGTTTCTACCTCTGGTGCTTATGTGGCAAAGGCCTTGACATCTTTTGTGGCTGCATCTGGGGCAAAATGAGCTTTTTAAATAAGGAGACCCTTAATAATATGCAGTGTGAGTTCTGACTGGATTAACTGGAATTAGTCCTGAGGTTTCTGTGGTTTTCAGCTGCTATCTATCTAGTAAACACATGTTTTGCTAAGTCACGAAATTGTGAAAGAGTCAAGTTTTCTTGACTCTTTTCTTGGAAAGGGACTCTAGATATCGTCTGATTGAATCTTCTGTTGGCAGCAGGGTCTTAAATGCACCGTCCCACCAAGCCTAGAATGTTTTTCTTGTATGAATTTTTACCACTTGCAGACAATCTTCTACCTTCTGGTCACTCCAAAAGTAATGCCTCCTATTTATTTCCATGGAAAGCACAACAGATACAAAGAGCACAATAACACTGTTTAATAGAGGACATTCTCTGCTATAAAATTCTATTTTTCAATATGGTCACTACTATTAGCTATGAAAACTAGCGATGAACAAGAGCCTGCATACCACACTTATAAAAATTTGCAGCAGTGGCGATGACCTGCTGTCACTGCTGCTAAAACATACCACCTACTGCCTCACTATGCTCATATCCATTGTTTGGTCTCTGTAAATGTTAAGCAGGCATCTATGAATGTCAGTGCCTTTTTTCCACCTCAAAGAATTCAGTGATGTGTCTTTCCTTCATCTGCATTTGCATGTCACATGCCATTCTGTCAGACTGCCCTTCTCCGAGCATATTCTCAACTACAAAGTGCTCGTTCATTACAGTCATCACTGTTATCTATGCAATGAAAAGGAGCCTGCATGCCACACTTGTAACATCCACATCAGTGGAGATAACCTACTGTCATCACTTCTGAAATGCACCACCCACCACCTCACTGTGCTTATGTCCATTGTTGGTCTTCATATATTTTCATCAAGTCAACTGAATGAATGTCAGCTGGTGCCTTTTTTTGGTACATGGAGGAAATGCAGTTAGGTAACTTTGCTTCACATTCACTTATATGTCAGATGCCATTGTGTCAGACTGCCCCTGTGCTGCCATCTGCATCAGCTACAAAATGTAATGGTGATACGTGGTAAAGTTCAACCTCTACTGCTGTACCACCATCTTCTGCCTCTGATGTCATGGCCCAGCATAATAAAATAAGAGGCGTTTCTATCAGTGTAGCCTTTGAGGAGGGCTGAGATTAGATATCCTTTGAGCCTTCTCTGGGGTTGATGAGCTCCATTCCTTTGCTGTTTCTTCAGCCTTCTGTCCATTTTGCTGAGCACGTGCACATACAAACATGCATTCCCTCTGCCCTGTCCAAAGCTTCTTAAATTTTTTGTTGTCTGTCTTGATTTGGAGATTGTGAAGTTGGATCCTCTGTTTATCTGTTGTGACCTAACAAGTGCCTAGTAAAGCAGGATAATCAACAACCCTTGATTTGATTGTTATTCTTAGTGATGCAGCCCAGGTCATGGAAGAAAGAATTATCAGTTGTTTTTAGGTTTTGCTTGTTAGCATTTTCTTCTAGCAAATGTTTTTACTGCTCTGCATTCATTTGTATTGAAATGGGAGAGTTCTAACAAGCTGAGTGGAGATCTTACCAGTTGGAAGT